CCTCCTCTTGGCCTTGAGGGGCGCAGGTCGGGCCTGTCCTCCGCTGGTGGTCGTCACCGGCGGGGTCGTCACAGGTGTGGTCGTCACCAGCTTTCTCTTCTGCCCCGCCTGTGGGGACCTCGCCGTCACCGGCGGGATCGCCGCAGACGGGGTTGTCACCGGCGGGGTGGCCATCGGCTGAGTCGTCACCGACGGGGTCGTCACCGGCGGGGTCGACCCCAGCGGAGTCGCCACCAGCGGGGTGGCCACCGGCGGGGTCGTCACCGGCGGGGTCGTCACAGGCGGGGTCGTCACAGGCGGGATCGCCACAGACGGGGTCGTCACCGGTGGGGTCGTCACCGCCGGGGAAGCTGTAGCCTCTTCACAAAGGCTGCTGTTGCCCGAGCCTGAAGAAAAGAAACACGCGTTTAAACGAAAAACAGTGTGGGCTGATGGTTGCGTTATACTCTCGACGCCATGCTGACATGACCTTCGACGTCATGGCGATGGAAATGCGGGATGATCAGTCTTTGCGCAAAGGATCAGATTATAACTTATCGCTGGCATGCAGCTATGGTTGTAACGCCTGACATATCCTCATTGAGGTATTTCGTTCTTTGGATTCAAGTTGAGAGTAAACATTTTGTCTGTAGCTGAACAAGTTACGTAACGAGCGGAATTTTACTTTTAAAAAATAAGACAAGCTTTCCCTGTCGTGCCGAGCAATATTTTCCGCGAGGGGCTGCGGCTCTGCTGAGCTTCAGTTGACGCACATGGCTAAGTCAAGGAAATAGAATGCACGCTGATTGCTGGTTCCGTTCGCATAGAAAGTCGTGATAAACTGACCGAAATCGTGTTGCGTGATGGAACTGTGATAGCACAAGAGGTCCAAGACATCTCCGCCCCATCACAGTACCAGAAGACGGCTGAAGAGCACACGCGAACGTCTCTGGCTCCCGGACGTAGTACAGCACCTCCTCGATGAAGCCATCAAAAAGCTTGTATTCCTGGAAGACGACATTACGTTAGGATTGCTATTGGGTTGTCGCTGACACTCGCGTGTGAAACAGACCCACCCCAGCTTCACGTGCTGCCCATCATGCAGCATCCGCCGCTTCAAGCGCCAGTGACGCGCACCACAACGAGCAGTGCTGAGGATCAGTGCATGCATGCTCCACATTCCCAGATGACAATGACAGTGATTCGGTGTTTTCAGACACATCGGCTGCGCGTGGTCATACAGCGCCCATGTTTTCAAATGACCTCAAGCGCCTCAATGATTCAGATCATGTAGCAGGACGGGAGGCATGATAAGCATCTCGCAATGCGCAACGTTTTGTTAATGACCAACCTTTTCGGATTGACAATTTTGCTTATTATGGCTTCTGAAAACCACGCTGCATTGATAATGTTATGCCGACAAGGCATTATTGGCCGTGTAATGGCTTCCTTAATTGACTCCGTCGGTTTTCGGGGCATGATGCGGTATGGTCTCTGATGACCGTATTCATGCTAGATAACAGGCGAGGCAATACTGGAATTACCGCATTTTGTTGTTCGTTCGCAAGCGACGATCGCGATGGACATATCAATGCGGTTTTACATCAATCTTATGGAAAGTAAAGCGTCAGGCACCGCTGTCATTGGGCTGTTGTGACGAGCTCACTGCGCTGAAACCTCACGGCGTCGCCAACATTTCACCTTGGCAGAAATGGCGGTCACCGTGGGGAAACAAATTCAGTGCCTCTGGTCTCTCATATGAGAGCTTAAAGCAGCCAGAAATGCTTATAACGGTGGCTATCGGCATTATACCCATGTGCCTATTCAGTCATTCTGTGTTTAGTATACTTAATGACTCGGTCACCGAGGGGCATCAGATTCGGTCATCATTATCGTGTTTAATAAACAAGATAGGCGGCAAAATGCAAACGTAAATGAGAAAGGCGCAAGAGCAAGAGCTTAAATCGGAGGACGGCAGATGCTCAGGTCTTTCTGATAATGTTGCCTTGAGAATCACGGGTGTCCGTTGAGTGCAACTGGACTCTTCACAGCACATGAAAGTCGATTTTTTACAGCATAAGAAAGTATCACGTACTTTTCACGTTATGCCGAACCACGGCTATGCAATGAAACCTTCCAGCTCGGCCAACGCCCGGTTATCCATGTTCTTTCGAAGACTGTTGACAGCACAAACCACCCGGACGGTTGCAACGATGAAGATACGAACCGACTGAACACGCCTCAGAACCGACTGAACACGGCTCAGAACGGGCTGAACATGGTTCAGAACCCGTTTTAAGTGCAACCGCCTACCTCCAGAAGTTCGCTGACGTCAAAGGTGATGTCCGGCAGGGAGTTCATGGCTTCAGACATGGTCGCTGGACGACTCACACGACAATGCTTCTCTGTCGTCACCACTGGAGGAACTGACCACAGGACCCCCTCGAACCCCTCGAAGCATGCGTGTGTCCGTTAGCTATACCACAAGGCGTTGGATGCGGGTGGCCAAGGCTCGGGCACATCCGACGTGATAATTGCTCGTCCGCTAATCCCCACTGACGACTGGGCATTCCGGTGACGAGGTGTGAAAACGGCGGTGTGACTTACAGAGGCAAGGATTAGTGACCGAGGGGACCCTCTCGAGGGTGCGAGTGCTGATGATCCTATCTTCTGACAGGCAGTGCGATAAGGGCCTTTACCTGGGCCAATATCTTGTTTTCCAACACCGCTCAGCACATTCACTGTGACTTAAGCTATCAGCAGTCAGCGAAGTACAGATATTCATAGCAGAAATACGGCTGGCCGCTCCCTGAGCAGGCGGACCGTTATAGAACAAACAGGCGTTAGCAGATTCATAAGTCTTCAACTGATGCTAAAAACGCCGAGGCTACGACGTGCAGGGCGACTCTAGGATAACCATGTCCAGCCCTCATCACCAATGTTATCCTATGTGAACGGGCGGCCGAGTTAGCTTGCATGGTCAGCCTCCATACTTCGTTGTTGTATGAGCGGGATGTTTGGCGGGGGAGAGAGAGAGAGAGAGAGAGAGAGAGAGAGAGAGAGAGAGAGAGAGAGAGAGAGAGAGAGAAGAGAGAGAGAGCGAGAGAGAGAGAGAGAGAGAGAGAGAGAGAGAGAGAGAGAGAGAGAGAGAGAGAGAGAGAGTTAGGGAGAGGGAGAGAGAACAATCCTCAGAACAGGGGTTCAAAGCCTCTGCGCCGCCCTGCAAGTGTTTCACGTACGGTCATTACCCGTCCACCTGAACGATGTCCAGTCTCCAGCTCCTATAGGGTGGCAAAGGCAAAGCAGACAAAGAAATATGTAAGTATTACAATGTTGGACATCATTAGCGCAGCGGTTTCTCGTCATATCTGTGCAAAAAAAATGCCATAAGAATATGACTTCAGAAAGCGGCCCGAAAACGGCATTGCCACGTCTCGCGGTGCGCGTATGAGGTAATGTTCCAATACAAGATGATCCACGAGACACCACTTACCGCGATGTATATCAATAGAATTGCCCCTCTACAACGCTCCATACTCTAAGCCTATCCTCCATTTCAGCTTGACGTACAGCTCTCGCGTTTATGAGGATCATTGCTGTGGCCGCATTTACTCTCATTGGTACAGAGACATTACTGAATATTAGCGGATGCGAGCCATTTACTCATCAGAAGGACCCTGAGCCGTCACGTGGGGCAGACCGTGGATACAGAAGACAGGCCTGAACCACCAGCGGATACAGAGTACAGGCCCGCACCGCCAGTGGATACAGAGCACAGGTCTGCACCGCCAGGACTGGACAGAACCCCAGCGTTCCCGGCAGGCAAGGTTGCTGTCAACAACGGATTACTTACCAAACTTCATCCCACTCATGAAATGTCTAATATTCTAGTAATAATGTTCGTACTTCTTGCCCTCTACGCAGTTGCGCTGCTGTTTTGCAGCTGTCCGTTTCTTCCACTGTCCCTTTCTAACAAGACCCATACTGAGAGGGATCCTTTTTCCGCCCCACTACGTACATTCCCGTACTCAGTTCCCATGCGAGACCTTACATAGCTTGTGACTAGTGTGATTATCTGTTGCTGCATTATTGTACCTTATTACCCGGTTGGTAAAGCATTGTGTACTGGGATAAACGTTTGCGTTATATTTATAAAATCTGCATCATGCATGTGTACATTGTATTGTTTATTTTTCTCCATAGACGCCAGCATCTCGTCTTAGGCCTGTACGCGATGTATGCACCGATTCCACGAAGCATGCCTTACTCTTCGCACCTGCGTGTTGGCATCTCCCGTGAGCTGGGGCGGGGGGGGGGGGGCATGCTCCGCGCGTCCCTCCACCGAAGTCGCTCCTCGCTGCTGAGCTTGTGAGATGTCCACGGCAGTCACCAGGGCCGTGTGTGCGTATGGAGATGGTACATGTCATGCCTGTCTGTCGTATTTGCTATAAGTAAATGTGTTAACATTCGTCTGATTAGGTACCATGGAACGCCCAGCATGCGTAATATTTTATCACTACACAAGACCAAAGCGAACCGACGATGACAGCGTTTTCGGACGTTCAAATCCAGGGCGTCTGGGCAGAACTGCATTGTGTGCTGTGATATTTTTAACGTGATATCACTCATCTTTGCTGTTGCTTCACTAATTCCCCATCCAGTTCCCAACCCTTAGGCGTTTGTAAGGACCTCGAAAGGTTCTGTACAAATCCAGAAGCAGAATGATTGTCGACAACATCAACAGTATATCATTAATTGGTCGCCGGTCGGCAACCGTGATAAGCACGACAACAGAAAATCTTCTGACCATATTTATTGTTTCAGTAACACGCTTGCACATGAGACAAACAGACTGTCACAACGCCAAACATTCTGTGTTATCCAACATCAGGTGTTTCTAGAGACACATTCTCAAAGACGGAAAACAAAAATAGACGGGGCACGGCTAAACGGTCACACAAAAGCAGATATACAACAATCAGAACTGGGAAAAAACTCTGACAAAGTTATTAGCACCGTGTTTATTTTCCATACGCCGATCCCTGGCTGGAGCCGTAACCCTGACCTCCGGTCGGGCCACGTCCCCTCTTGACGTTGCTGCGACCCTCCTCCTCGCCGTAGGCGTTGAGGAACTTTGCCTCACCCTCGTACTCGACGTCGGCCACAAAGCCAGAGTCGCCCTGGACCGAGTAGGAGACGGTCTGGAGCCGGCCGTCGGGCAGCGCGACGCTGTACTGGCCCTGCACCTCCTCGCCGTTGGACTCCTCGGCCGCGCCAAAGTCGTTACCACGGACATCCAGGACGTCGTAGCTGAATGAGTAGGGCGTAGGAGGCTCTGTCTGTCCGTAGCCTCCGTTGGACTGCTGGCTGTAGCCGCCGTTGGACTGCTGACCATAGCCTCCGTTGGACTGCTGACCGTAACCTCCGTTGGACTGCTGGCTGTAACCTCCGTTGGACTGCTGGCTGTAGCCTCCGTTGGACTGCTGGCTGTAACCCCCGTTGGACTGCTGGCCATAGCCTTCGTTGGACTGCTGACCGTAGGTCGGCTTCAGGCTGGACTCAAATGGTCTCCTCCGAGACTGCAGACCATAGCCTGACGATGCCGATGAGGACCCATATTGAGACTGGGCACCAGAGGGAGCACCGTACTGTGACTGAGCACCAGAGGGAGCACCGTACTGAGATTGGGCACCAGAGGGAGCACCGTACTGAGACTGGGCACCAGAGGGAGCACCGTACTGAGACTGGGCACCAGAGGGAGCACCGTACTGGGATTGAGCACCAGACCCACGCCGGTCTCCTGCGACCACCACGGCGAGGGCAGCTACAACCAGGATCTTCATGTTTGCCGAGAGGACTAGTTGGAACAACTGTGCTTGACCCACCAAGTCTCGCCGTTTTATACCACATTCGCTCGTGAGCATTCAATGATTGCCTTGGCAGTGACGGTAGTGACGGCAATAGAATGATTGCGCAATCGAGATGAAAATGAGTATGCAAATAGTATCGAGGTGTCGCGGCCGATCCGTGAGGAGATCAGAGCACGGGTGTTTCCTCACCTGCCATTGGCACTCGTGCGTGAATCATGCTTGGCAGATTGACCCGAACCACGGAGGGCGTCGTGCCGGTGCGTGACCTCGTAAATACAGCTCTTACGTTATGGGCTGCCGCTGAGCGGCGTAGTTGTACCGAGGAATTGTAGGACCTGTTCTGTGTGCGACTTGGGACTGGCTCTGGGGGGTGCCCGACATGGCGCCCACATGCCCACCGGCCGAAGAGGCCTGGCGCTGTGCTGCGGCCACCAGTCGTGACTGTAGTTTGGATGGGTAGTCTTTCCCTTACCTTATACTATCCTGCAAATAAATAGAAGCTGTTCGGCCATGCAGGTTATGGTGCTGTTTGGTCATTTGCTAAGATCAAAATAGGAAACATAAAACGTCGGATTGATTGTAGAATGCTTGTTAGCTTTTGCTTGTTCCACGTAGTTCATGCTTGCAGTCAAAAATCCCGCAAGTTATTGTAATATGCTAATATGTTCGGTAGCATTCCTCTGAATTATACGCCTAAAGCTCTATAATTTCCGTTGACTCAGTTTCCATTTGATGTTATGGCACTGGTTGGCACGGCCCCACCGGCGAGCATTGCCACATGTGCTGCGTGCGCCATTTTGGAATCAATGTCCCTGCCGTGGTGACGGCTGACCTCATATCTTTCTGAAAACTAGTTGGGCTCCTTCGCTACATCACGATAATGACAATCGTGACGATAATAGCACAAGGCGAGCGTTCGGCTGGTAAGCTACTGACATAGAATTCAATATTTGTGCAGGCGTTACTCTGGTCAGGTGACTTCTTGCACTGGTGATCGGAGTATGGTGGGCGCTATGGTTCGGCTGGATCGGTGCGGAAAATGGGCGGGTACACCGGAACATGGCTGCCAGTGGGCGTCCATGACACGCTTCAGGACGCCCCTCGGCAATGTTCAGATCTCAGTTAAGCTGTTAATGCTGCCGTTGCAGATGAATCCAGATGTGTTGCACCCTCCGCAGATGACTTGCACCTGTAATGTATATCTTTTCAAATGCTTTGCCGAGATTGTCTGTACACGGTTAACATAAAAATAGGCTGCGATCGCTCATAGCATGAGCATATGTCATGGTATCCTGCCAAGTTCCAATATACTCTATACAAAAATCCTTTTTCTGAGACGGTTGCGAGCTAAACCAAAATTTTCCTTGTAATGTTATTATAGCGGTACATTACGGCGATTCTGACTGCACGCGGTGGGAGAAATCACGCCAGATGTAACAGCTCGCATCCTTTGAGATGCCTCGCTCCCACCTGTTTCACATTTTAACAGTCCAGCTGGTGATGCATAACCAGAATAATACAAAAGTTCATCAATTCAGCTGGGCCTGCCATTCTGTGTTGTAAATAGTGCTTTTAGCGTAACTAACGTCTGCTGGTACACCAGTGGTGATGGCTTTTGTTGGGACGACGGCTTCGTCGTCTGTTGGAACGGGAAGAGTAGTCATCCACCTTAGGATAGCTCAGAAAGGTTACCGGCACGTCCTCAGGCCACGGCCAGGCCATGATGTCTGGAAAGCTATAACATGGTGCATACCAATTAAGTTTTCTTCAATTAGCGTAATTTTCTGAGAGCTAGTATAAATAATAAATAAATATTGCGCAAATAAAAGAACCCTGACAGCCTGACCGGAGTTCTAGTTGTTGTCTTTGGTTCTAGGCGTCTGAAGGTTCCAGTTGTCTGATCGTTTGTTGACACCGTAATTGTTCGGGGTTTTGGCATCGGCACAAAAACCTCAATTCTCGACAGCAGCGACCCACGAGACAACATCGTCCAGTTGGCCATCGACACTGTGCCATCGCACCTGACAGCTGCACAGAGGCACGAAGAAGTTAAGACTGTAGATGTTCCAATCAAGCCCCATGCTAACGGAACTGGGGATCTATCTGACGTTTCTTAACACGCGTTCGGGTGGGGAGTTCATTGGCCCCCTCCTTGTTAACTTTGAACGGCGCGGTTTAGTCACGCCAAATTTGTAAAGTTGCAGGCGATTGAATATCGGATCTTTTGGTGTAGCAAACTTAGGATGTACCTTGTAAGGTCGCTGCCCTATAGAAAGTCCAAGTCAGACCGTAGCTGTCAGCGAAGGCAATGTCTAAGAAATCGTTCAATCTGATGCCGCAATGGAGCGTTGGACGAAGCAATACATCTATGAAACAATTTCTAAGGTCATAAAACAATTGAAGCTAGGATTATAACAAAATGCGCTGACTTAGAGTCAGTTTATAAAGATCAACTAGTGGTCAAAACCAGCCTACCTTTTCTACTCGAGATTTTGCTGCATGAGGTAGTTTCTAGTACTCTTTCGAATTTATTAATATCAAGGACCACAACAGACATCATCCACGGACTTGTTAAACGTCAGAGTAGGCCTCTGTGTAGGTAAAACATGTCCGTTCGTCACCGAGGAAATTTGGAACCGTCTAAATTGTCACCTGGAGTCAAATCTTTCAGCAACCGTTGCACCGTATCATTACGAGCGATAAACCACAAAAATACGAATTAAATGCGATGCGGCATAACCTTCACACATTTTCGTTCCGGGACTTCTTTTGCATTGAAGTGTCATTTGCTGGCCATCAAAAATTTAATGCTGATGGACTAGTCGAGTTATCAGGTAAAGACATTCTTAACATAGCCAGCCTAAAGGCATGTATTTTCCTATTCAGTTGGGGGGAGGGGGAGAAGGCAGGACTATGCCTGCTAACCAGGGATGTACCTTTTTTTAGTTATCAGTTTTGTCCATTATCTTTTTTCGTCATGATTGTTGGGGGTTCGGCCCCAAAACTAATTTTAAGAAACTACACCCCTGCTCCCAACTGCGAAAAGAAAGTCTGTCGATTACGGGAAAAACTGTTCTGAGTGCGTTTCGAAGGCAAGCTCAGCCATTTTTCTTCCTGCACCCCCTCCCCTTCCCTCCCTAACCCCTACGTATTTTGCAAAACTGCATCCAAAGCAGCCCTACATTTACCGACGACATGGTTCCACAAGCACCCAGGACAAGATCCATTTTGGTTTTCTGGCGTCATCGTAGTCAGCTGGAAACGTTGGCGACCTTCAGCATCTTTGCATAATCATTGCCGTTGCAGAACTCGCAGTTCCTAACATGATGCCAATTACTTAGAGCAAAGCCCATGCAATATGGGTATCAACGGATGCAAAGGACATTTTTGAACCCTTCTAGGATCTTCATTTGGATTTATATGCAAAATGATGAACAATAAAACATTTCATCTCACGCCTGCCCACCCATCAGTACGCAAAGTTTGAGGTGCTACGGGCAATGTGAGAAGCTTACAACAGCGATGCGCGGCATCTTAACTCAAAGCCGTGTTCCTCTCAGCAGCAGGAAGCCCTGGGTGAATCCCTGACATGTGTCGCTGCAACGACCTCCGTTTACCTCTGAAGCTACACTAAGGTATGCACAACAACAATCCTCCGACATTGGCAAGGCTTTTTATCCTATTACCTTTAAAAGACTGACGACTAGCTACCTTCTTCCAACCATTCAGCTCCTCACGATATGAGCACAACCAACAGCAACCCACAACCCGGCACAGAAACTGACGCATTTCCGCGCGGCGAGCATTCGAGCACATCTGTCTCAACTGGCACGGCGCTTTAAAACACTGCGTAGCAAATTGATCATGTTCGTCACAAGATGCTGTGGCCAGCCACGATTCGCACGACGAGAAAGAATCGCTGAAACAAACGATGAGTAACAAGCCTAATTAGTTGGTATTTATACTGTTTAGGATGTTAAGTGAAACTTGGTTGAAAATATGTGAAAAGCACTGATCTGAGGGGCATTGGAAAAGCAGGTCACTACTGATCTGTGACGCGAGCGCTGATATAGTTTAGTTTGTAGTATGTTTCTGGCACATGTGAAAAATTATCTTGATTAAAGCTACTATGCTTGGCATCGTCTTATGGCTCAACTTTCTCATACAGCGAAACGGCGGCGTTTCCACATGCGCTCTTCACATGCTCACGTTGCAAGCGTTAGCGAGTACAGGTCAATATTAAACTTTACGTTTGGTCTAACTTGGATGATCTGTTGTAATATGGTCTAGTCTTTTGAATTTTTTTTCATTTTCGCAATGCCGACACCAGTTGGTTTGCAAAAGTGTCAGTTTTTGTCACCGATCATATCCGGGAAATCAGAAATTTGTTTCGCCCCTGGGCCTCTGAACTGAAATGGCCCGGTGTCAGGACTTCAGGTCATTGACATTAAATAATACCAGTGACCTTTTTCCTAGAACAGATGTTTAGGCTCAAGACAGTTGCATGAGGGGGTTCGGGGTGCCACTTCGGAGAACATCGTTCTGGAGTTTTGCATTGTCTGACCTTATTGGACACGAAGGTAATGGCCTAGGAACCTTAAATCTCTTCATCAGTTAGTTGACATGCGCACCAAGCTACCCTGTAAATTTGATATTTCCAGCTTTTTTAGCTTTTTAGATCACAGAGGGGTCAAACTGCTCCATCTTCCATCCGAGCGAGGGGTATTCAACCGGCCGTCCGGGCGAGTGTTAATGTAGGGCTCCAAGAACGAAGAGAAAATTGCGGCTCAAATTGTAGTCTGAAACTTGCAGTTGTTCAATGTGGGTGGACGTAGAGCAGCGCGTTACGTGTCCACGGTGCTGTGGTAGCTTCTGTTCTCTGCGCCGTAACCCCATGCCAGTAAACCCCGCCCTGACAGGGACCGGGTCGATGCGACCCTTCCCTCGTAAGGCTTTTTCAGGACGCCTCTCAGGCAGGTAGTGCAATCCCACGCAAACTTTTAGTAAACTGATAGGCATCTATTGCGCGTGTTTTGACATCAAAGCCGTTTTCCTAGCTTTTTGTATCGGACAGCGGCGCTTTTGAGAAACACTGCACGGCGATCAATGGCCGACGCGGCCGGCAGGCGGTAACCGTAGATGGCACAGAATGCGTGCGGCGGGTCGACGTTGTTACGTCAACGGAGACATACATCGTAAAGGTATGCTCAAAAACACATACAAATATATATATATATATATATATATATATATATATATATATACAATTCTACTAAAAACTGAACAAGAAACATGCCTTTATAACTTGCGTGGCGCCGTGAGGCATAGCTTCGTATTTATAGCGTTCTAAAGCTGAGAAATGCTTTTCACGAAAATCTGAGAATTGATCCAATTGAGAATTGAGGTCAATTATTGGCAAAAAAGCAGAAAAACTGGTACCAAAAGCGATATTTCGTTGAGAGGAATTCAGTGGTGCTTTTTTCTCGCTAAACTCTATCTTGTTTAGTTTGGCAACACCAAGGAGTCGCATTGCTCACCCCCCCCCCCCCCCTCCCCTATCAGTTCGCGTTCTGAAAAACGGAGAATAAGGACTATGGTTGAAGGGTATGTTCCATATTTGAACACAATGAAGCAAGCACCAGATGTGATGAAATAAAGTGGAAAAGACTGCTCCAGACAACACATTTTCTCTGCTCAGTAAACATGCTCCTCAACACGCCATTGATTATGTCGCCGTACCGTGTACGACATTGATTGAGAGCCCATTGACGGCTGTTATATTTGGAAATAATTCTCACGAACGTCAGATATGGACGACTCGACATAATATTGTTCTCGGCATCAATCGTCGCATAGCTTATGGAATGGCAGCACTCAAACGACGTTAATATGACGTTTTGAATACTTTGGTGACCTTGAAAGCCTCCCAATTCAGTCTGCGCGTTTTCGCAAGCGTGAATTTTAAGAAGGGCACGGCTGTGAACTGTACCGAATGGTCATCAAATTGCTATTTCAGTTCAAAACCACATATAGATGTGAAACATTGTTTTATAGTGAATACGGCGCTGTATCAGAATGAGCGGCTAGCAAAAATCGAGATCCCATGCGTCAACATGTCGCGAACTGCACCTTTCTAAGCTTGTACTTTAATTAAATTTTCGATTGGTCCAAGTCTGTTTTCTTTTGCTTCATGACGTGCAATGTTTGATGTAAATGCCTGCGGGGTCCGATTCCCTTAACCCTGAAACGAATCAAGCATTAACCATCGAAGAGGGTCCGACAAAACTCTTTGCGTCGTTGAACGCCTATTAAACTTTAGTAATGCGTTCAGGCGAAGAGGCACCGCACCGGGCTAGGGTGCTGATGTGACCGAGCACCATAACCAGACGTGTCGTTATTTGTGTTATGCCCCCATTCTCGTACTGCGACAGGTGACCGGCCACCGGGCCCGTGGGTGTGTGGCCCCCGGTGCAGGATGGCACTGTGTCCCGCGGCAGAGCGGTCACTCCTCAGCAACTGTCATCTCTCGTCTAGGAGTCGGTCGAGGAAACGTCTCCCGAAGTCAGACTTGAATCGAGGACCTCCCGTCTGCGTTGGCACGTGCACCAACTAACTGCGCCACCGGGCTGGTCATTGTCCTATTAGAAGGGATATAAAAAGCCAGCGTGTTTGCACCAAGGCCAGCGTCGCTATCAAAGGTCCATGAACGACAGCGAGACGTGCGTTTCCCACGGTTCAGACGTTCATTCATTCTTGGGCAACGCTCGCGCGGTGCACGGAGGGTCCCGAGTCGGAAGCCTCAGGCGCCCCGACCCCAGCCGATCACCCACGGACGTGCTCTTAACGGTCCGTGCATGGATGTCACGTCCCACGATAGCGTGCTTGGCAAGAGTAGTGACTTAGTCACGCGATGCTGGGCTATCGGAATGTTTGCCCTGCTTCCATGAATACCAGTCCAGCACGTCTGATACTCACAGAAGGTTCGTGTGCCGAGTTATGCAATTATTGGTTGGAAATAATGAGTACAGCTTGGAACACCATACTGTGTATCATACACTTCGCATGATCAGTTATATGCTGT